TGGGTTGCGCGCTCATTATCGAACGCTTATCCAAAAGTTCGTATATTCAGGAGGGATATAATTTACCGGATCGCGCCGCAGCTACCGAAGCAACCTTAACAAAAGAGGAAGGATGTCCGATTGACGATAAATTTCCAAAAGTTCAGAAATCGAGACGCCCTCGGGAATTTCTCGCGCGAACACATCGGATAACAAGGATCGGATTACCGAAAACTGACACGTAATTGTATATTGCTCTCCGCTGAAAATATCTTCCGCCTCGCGAGGAAATCGCGTAACTAGTATTTCGGGATCTCAAATGTAACTCGTAACACTATAAATAAATGTTTCAGCCCTAATCGCGCATATGGGTGATCGAACGTGATATTTACGACTGTTTAATAGTATATAAATCTAACAGGAAAATTAACGTTCCTGTGTATCTCGTAGGAGAGACCGTATGATAATCCTCAAGTGTTTCGCACGTGAAACACATAAACAGGGTATTCGCTTCGAGATGCTTGCGCGAGCTAAAAAGCGTGCGGAAACAGAAAGAGAGACCGGGAGAGCGCTTGTCGATCAGGGATTTCGACGATGATTTCGACACGTCGAATTTCCATCTCGTAGAAGGCAAATCCAGACCAGACGAAGTATTCTCTATATCGAACGCGGTGACCGGAAAGCGTACCGAAATAAAACCCGCATCACCCTTTCGCATTAGCCCGTTCGTTAGCCAATCCCTATTTATAAGATATTATGTTCGGCGAAGCCCCGCACACACACACACACACACACACACACGCATATGCGTGTCTCCAATGCCTTGGAAGAAAGATAGAAATAAAGGAAGAGGAAGAGGACGAGAAAGAGATCGTCACGGACATATGCCTAACACGCGTAAAACGCACGTCGATGGTTTAACGCGGCACGCACATCGCACACGGCGTGTTACGCGACTAAAAATACCCTCGAAAGCATCTAGATAAGTCTCCGGGTCTCGAAGACCCGAAAGAGCGGGTTGGATCTGGTGGGCGGTTTATTAATGGACTCGAATCGACCAGAAATCAAAATTATTGTGGGCGTGCACGATGGCCGGCACGCACTCAGAACGCAGTTCGAGTCTTCGGTAGTCTCGGATGGTTGTGCGTAATTGAAAAATATAGGTCCTCTTTTCCCGAGGATTCCTACAGATTTGCATAGGGAGCTGATTCGTGAGGCCTATCTGCCTGTTTATCTAATTTAATAATAAGTAAATAAGTCTCGGCTCGTTTACCGACTCCTGCAATCGCCAGGAAGCAATTACTTTCAAACACAGTTTCTATGCCACGCACAGCGGTGGTTGGTTATCTGGTTTCCTGGTTTCCGCGTTACCTCAGCGCGTTACCCGATTTCGATAATCCTTCTGACGGCGATAAATTTTCTTCAGCGACTACGGTATTTTTGCGGAAATACAAATTGACCACATATCGGCGGGGAGAGGCTGAATTATAAAGTGGAACGTGAAATATGTGATACGGATTAGAAGTAGGATGTAGGAATGTAGATGTATTAAAAATAGAAAAGAGGAAAAAAAAATCAGATTTCTATGACATACTTTGGCTTGTCGTTTGATAAACCTCGATAGCCTCGTCGCACGAGGCAAACATTTTGTTGTCGCGCTTATCAGTTCGTAGCGAAACGAGCTGCATGAAACGTTTTGTAACCGCGGAATGAATCTTTATTAGATGCTTGCTCGAAGACGATTGATCTCGTTTGACATTCGTATTATCTCCACACGCACGGCCTTGGTTCCTCCTGCGAATAAACCGAATGCTAATAAATTCAACGCCGGGAAGATCTTTCAGCGGGCCCGACCTATTAAAATTCCCGGACCGACAGCTGGTCTCGAGACGAGCTGATGGTTTCTCTCGAAGTCTCTCAGTCTTCACGTTTCAAATCGCGCAGAAAACGTTCGCACGGTCACAGCTGACGATGTTTGTTTTACATTGTTGCAAAGCAAGCCTGCCTGCCTGCCTATTGCAAATCCGTAATCGTACGCTTATGAGTCATAGACGGCGAGAAATGATTTATCGCTCCAATTAGACTCAAGTATGTAGATAGATCAGCCTTTTTTCAACATTCATTAATTTCTACAAAGCCACAAACCGTGCCGTTCAACTGAAAGGGCAGACAATTTTCCAGATGCATTCGAGCCGAGCGAGCTGGCTCGGTTAAGAAAATATGAACAAGTTGTGCATAAGTAAGAGGCATCTGAAAAGATCTCGGTAAATAAATTTACTCTCTTTCTCTGGCGAGCGAATTGCGCAAACCGCGGAAACGCTCGCTTCTCCTCGCGCTGTTTTGTCGAGCGAACAGCGAAACGCTGCACGCTGCTTGCATAAAGTCACGACTGTCTTATTTTTTATTCCTCTTTTCTCTCTCTCTCTCTCTCTCTCTCTCTCTCTCTCTCTCTCTTTCCCTCTCTCCTCTACGCGGGAGATAGAGACGAAATACCTAGAAAGAAAAGATATTTACACGACTGCCGCTGCATCGAGGCCGTGTCTTGACATCTCTCACTCGCAGCTGTGCAAATCGCTACCGTAGGAATGCGCATGTAAATGAGACGTATCACGAATAACAACGGTAAATGGACGAAAGGAGGAAAGTTCTGCCCTCTCACCGTGATTATTTCACCGCGATTTCGTTTTCTCGGATCACGCGCCGGCCGGCAAGAAATCACGGGTACCACATGAAACGGGCTCGGCCTAAATACGAAACGAGGACACCGGAATCGTGTCTCCCTCGGTTTTGCTCGGAATAAATGCGAGTCGACGCCACGAACGTGTCGGACGTCTTGTTTCGATTCTGTAGGCTCGTATATTCGGCAGTACGAGAGTATGGAATGCGACAGCATGAAACAAATGTTGCCAACTGACAGATCGTCCTAATCACTCCGAGCGTCGTCTGAAATTTATTTGCATTTAAACCGAGTTTTTATTTCTTTTTTATTATATATTTCCTTTGACTTTTCTTTACTTGTAATTTATTCTCTCGATTGTACGACTTCTTTGAAGAAATGTGTCGACTCTTACTTTGCCCTCTATTTACCTTTGTCGTTATTTATGTCGTCTAAAATGTTTATATATTATATTTGGCATTTTTCCAAATGTTTACAAAAATATTAAATAACAAAAATGTCGCTGACGCAGCTGTATCTACATAGAATGTAATTAAATTCTTGTAGACATTGCCATGTCGGAGATTCGAATATTCGAGGGGGCTTGGAGAAATAACATTTTCTATCAATGTAAATTACTTTAATCTCGGTTCAACTTACTCTTCGTATTTTTCCAATTTGAAAACTGTGATTAAAGTCAATCGTTGAAATCGGATAAATATCTCGAGTCTTACCATTCGCGACAAAACACGCAGAGACAATTTTCTCGGAAATTCGTTCGACACTCGCAAAATTAGTTTATATGAAATAAACATACGCTGAATGCGAAGATCGAAACATTCAGCGAGTGCGATTGATGGCGTGTTCTAAACGAACGCAAAACTTATAAATATTTCATAGAGTGACTTAAGCTTACATAATGCAACGGAAGGTTTCGCAATAACGCGCTATCGGTTGCGTTTGTGCTGAGAAGTCAAAGGCGACGGATTTCGCAGAAAAATTATGCCTCAAAAGTGTTTCGGCACAAAACTGTCCTTTGCAACGAACTTTCTCATCTCGATTTGCTTCGCTCGGTCGGTGATCACGGCATTAATTACGCGGATTAATTACGCGTTAATTTTACCAGTAAACATCGGCACGCTTGAAAACTCGCCAGATACTCGTATACGCTTCTTCGTGCGATAACGATTATGTAAATATGCTGGTTTTATCGCGCTTCCACTCTTGGCAAAGAGGAAAAAAATGCCAAGTGCCTTATATTCGAGTCTCATCGAGGAACGAGAGATTGGACACAATGATATAAAACGCTCGTTATACAACGCGAAAGAAGCGATTTCTTTTGCTTGAGCAACTGGAATTCGAACACCGACAATTCGCATTCCTTGAATTTTCCGAGACCGAGTTGAGTAAGCCGCGTGCACAAAATCTTATTATCGCGCACACCTGGGCGTTGGCATTGCAACGAATACTTGGATTATTAATTAACGTGCTGTTTCGCTCGGAGCGAGAAGTTAAGTTGACGTTTTGAAAGTGAAACTATATTCGCGCGGCTATCATACATTTTTTTTTATACTCGGAGTTATCATTTCCACATTCTCTTTTTCATAGGCGATCCATGCATCGGCGGTGACGTAAGCTCTAGCTAGAGGCGATTGTAATGAAAAATGAAGATTCTATCTACCAAATAACAATCTACTTAATAAATAAAGGTCAAAGTGAGAGTCAACGCGTTTCTTGAAAAAAGTTGTCACACAATTGAGAAAGAATAAATTACAGATAGAGAAAAGTGAAATATATAGTGAAAAATAGAAGAAATAATAAAAATTCAGTTTAAATACAAATATTCATTACTACTGAAATTCTCGTGTTTTTCTAGAAAGTATGAAGAAGCAGATTCGTCAATGAAAATGTATTGCTATCCATAAATTTTGTAAATGAGGATTGATTATACAGCGAGATCATCCCCAAAGAAGTGGGATTTATTTGATATTTCTCTTTGCATAAATACATCACACACGAGA